TTTGCTCTGCATATATAGATATGTATTTGAAGGATCCTCTAGCTGAAAGGGTGGAATGTTGCGTGCCTGTTGTGTGGTCCTTTAATGAGTTGTAAGCTTGTGTATTTAAGTGAATTAAGCAGCGTAATTTGGCGGCCTTGACCAACTGACCAGCAGACCAAATGGCCAACAGCAATAACAACAACAGCCAGTTGCCCAATTGGCCAATTGGCCAATTCAATTGATCAAGCAGAGGCTATTATGGCGGCTTAGTGCTTGTTATTGGCGAACTTGTTCAACACATCGGAAATGAGTTTGAATCAATGGCACTTGCTCGGCTTGAATATGCCTTGGACATGGCTGGATGTGATTGAAATTATAGCTAAGGCATGTCAGTGCATCGCTGCATAGCATTCGATTTAGTACAGGGTATTTCTGGACCAGATAAATTTATTTCATTTGACGATTGTCAAGAAATGTACAAATTTTCATATATAGCTGAAAGTGTTTAATTTAACTGAGAGTTGATATAATGCATTAGTCAAGGAATGTCAACAGAGGAGATGTCTGGTATTGACTATTAAATGAAACCTCGCAGCGATTAAGAAAGAAATTTCCATTAATTAAATGTCCACTTAATTTAATTACTAGGAGATAGTTTACTGTCTCTGATACACTGTATTCAAATTGTCATGAAATAGAGTATGGCCCTTGCCTGCCATAATTGATATTCCCCATAAGCTGGTTGCTTGCCTGCAGAGTATTTAAAAATGATTTTAATGCAAATTTAAATGAGAAATCATAACATTTTCAAATTAAAACTGGCATAAAATGGAAATGAAATTAAATAGCGACGGCGAATTAAGAGATGGCGACAGAGATAGAGAGAGGGAGTGGGAGAGAGAGAGAGAGAGATACATTAACGGCTACAGCAGACACAGATAAAGAGCGACACACACAGATGCGTATGGTAAATGGGCATATGCGCAAACCGAATAACCGATTAATAGATGTATATATATGTTATATATGTGTATAACATATATATAGACGCTTAACATATAATTTAAATGCTGCCTATGCGCTGTAAGCGCCATGTATTACCGGGTAATTCCGTCCAGAATCTTTTATGGCCGCGCGGCGAGTGTGCAAAATTGGCCACAAATCGTGCGTAAAATGGCCAAAATACAAAAAAAAATGTAAAACAGGAGAAGAAGAGGAACAAATGCCGTGTGCTACATGCTTTTTAACTCAACTTAAATTTCTATGCAGAAATTTTCGCAATTAATTTCAACATTTATTGCCTATTCGCGCAATAATTCATAAATGCGTTTTGTGCCCGTTGCCTTCAAGAGGCTTCTCTCTCCCAGTTCTTTCACAGAATCTTCATTTTTATAAAAAATAAATTGTCTAAGAAATTCAAGTATAAGTATAAGTATAAGTATAAGTATAAGTATAAGTATAAGTATAAGCATAAGTATAAGTATAAGTATAAGTATAAGTATAAGTATAAGTATACGTCTCCGTCTAGTCTCGTCTAAGTCTCCGTCTCCGTCTCCGTCTCCGTCTCCGTCTCCGTCTCCGTCCAAGTCTCCGTATCCGGCTCCGTATCCCGTCCCGTTCCGTCTCCGTCTCCGTCTCCGTCTCGTCTCCGTCTCCGTCTCCGTCTCCGTCTCCGTCTCCGTCTACGTCTCCGTCTCCGTCTCCGTCTCCGTCTCCGTCCTCCGTCTCCGTCTCCGTATCCGTCTCCCGTCTCCGTCTCCGTCTCCGTCCCGTCTCCGTCTCCGTCTCCGTCTCCGTTCTCCTCTCCGTCTCCGTCTCCGTCTCCGTCTCCGTCTCCGTCTCCGTCTCCCGTCTCCGTCTCCGTCTCCGTCTCCGTCTCCGTCTCCGTCTCCGTCTCGTCTCCGTCTCCGTCTCCGTCTCCGTCTCCGTCTCCGTCTCCGTCTCCGTCTCCGTCTCCGTCTCGTCCCGTCTCCGTCTCCGTCTCCTCTCCGTCTCCGTCTCCGTCTCCGTCTCCGTCTCCGTCTCCGTCTCCGTCTCCGTCTCCGTCTCCGTCTCCGTCTCCGTCTCCGTCTCCGTCTCGCGTCTCCGTCTCGTCTCCGTCTCCCGTCTCCGTCTCCGTCTCCGTCTCCGTTCCGTCTCCGTCTCCGTCTCCGTCTCCGTCTCCGTCTCCGTCTCCCGTCTCCGTCTCCGTCTCCGTCTCCGTCTCCCGTCTCCGTCTCCGTCTCCGTCTCCGTCTCCGTCTCCGTCTCCGTCTCCGTCTCCGTCTCCGCTCTCCGTCTCGTCTCCGTCTCCGTCTCCGTCCCGTCTCCGTCTCCGTCTCCGTCTCCGTCTCCGTCTCGTCTCCGTTCCGTCTCCCGTCTCCGTCTCCGTCTCCGTCTCCGTCTCCGTCTCCGTCTCCCGTCTCCGTCTCCGTCTCCGTCTCCGTCTCCGTCTCCGTCTCGTCTCCCCGTCTCCGTCTCCGTCTCCGTCTCCGTCTCCGTCTCCGTCTCCGTCTCCGTCTCCATCGTCTCCGTCTCGTCTCCGTCTCCGTCTCCGTCTCGTCTCCGTCTCCGTCTCCGTCCGTCTCCTCTCCGTCTCCGTCTCCGTCTCAGTCTCCGTCTCCGTCTCCGTCTCTCTCCGTCTCCGTTCCTCTCCGTCTCCGTCCACGTCTCCGTTCCGTCTCCGTCTCCGTCTCCTCTCCGTCTCCGTCTCCGTCTCCGTCTCCGTCTCCGTCTCCGTCTCCGTCTCCGTCTCCGTCTACCGTCTCCGTCTCCGTCCTCCGTCTCCGTCTCCGTCTCCGTTCGTCTCCGTCTCCGTCTCCGTCTCCGTCCCGTCTCCGTCTCCGTCTCCGTCTCCGTCTCCGTCTCCGTCTCCGTCTCGTCTCCGTCTCCGTCTCCGTCTCCGTCTCCGTCTAAGTCTCCGTATCCGTCTCCGCGTCTCCGTCTCCTAGTCCCGTCTCCGTTATCCGTCTCCGTCCTCCGTTCTCCGTCTCCGTATCCGTATAAGTATCCGTCTCCGTCTCCGTCTACGTCTCCGTCTCCGTCTACGTTCCTAAGTCTAAGTAAAGTATAGTAAAGTTAAGTATAAGTATAATATAGTATAAGTATAAGTATCGTATAAGTTTCAGTAAGAAGTATAGTAAGTATAAGATAAGTATTAGTAAATCTCTGTATAAGTATAAGAATATGTATATTCTGATTGACTTTGCCAGCTCTTAGGGCCACTGTTTTTTTATAATCATATTCTCATTTGCATATGAGCTAAGAAATGCGTCCGACACCATTCTGAATGGGCTGTCAGAATTAATTGAAATTTAAATATGAGACAGGCCAAATGAAATTGTTGTAATTCACAAAACAAAACGAAAGTATTCCACATTAATGAGTTAAGGAAAGATTTATGATCGGGCTGAGCTGTTACTCAGCCCTTTTATGAATACATATCTGAAACTCTAAGACACTATAGTATATATATAATATATTTATCGTTCTCAGATACTCGATTGACTTTTGTTTAGAGATATTTAGGAACTGTGCCTCGAAATATATTTGAGCGTATGCAAAGGTCGGTGTTGGTCTGGCTTGAGTAATGTGTGTTCTCTTCTTCTTCTGCAGTTTTTTAATTAAAATTTTTGGATATAACATTAGCACTTGGCCCTGTCAGAGCTAAGTACTTGCAAATGGCAATTAAGTGTTGGCTGGAAAAACATTTGGGCCACAGTAAAATGCCGCCACTCGATAAATGGCCACTTCACTTTTCACTTCATCTATCTGTGGTGGAAAATACACACACGCACACATGCTGCTAATTGCAAATTGATTTGGCCATATGCATTAGTTGATACATTTATAATTATGCCTTTCAAATGTGCCCAAGTCAGAATCTGGGCAGCCGAACGTGTGGGCCCGCCTGAGCAGTGGCTGCGTGTGGGCGGGCGGGTGGCTGGTGCGCTTTGTTTGCCTGTTGTGTTAGCGTCGAGAAGCTTAACGCAAAACAACAGCCAAGCACCGAAGCACCGAAGCACCGAAAATAAGCGAGGCAGTCAAGTAGCTGCGACGACGACGACTCACATAAAAACCACTATAAACTTTATTAATTTTAATTAAAAACACTACACTCATTCTGAGAGTTAAATTCCCGTGCACATCTCTTGCCAGTGTGCGTGACCATTGGGTAATGTTTTCAGTTCACAGTTGGCTTTTTTCTTTTCTGTTTTTTGTTTTGCTGCTGGCGCCTCGCTGCGTGTTGTAAGCCGCAGAACGCGTCCTTCGGCCAGCAGGCGGTGGGCAGTTAAAAACAGGAAAGCCCTCTAAACTCAGCTCACGCAGCCAGCAGAACTGTGAATGCTCTCATTAGAGACGGGCTTAGCCTAAAACTATATGCAATATTATAGTCATTTTTTAATTTGAAAATTAATTTAATTTCTTTTGTATAAATTAAATTTTAGTTAAATTAAATAAAGTTAAGTTTGCATTAAAATTTTAAGAAATTCAAATTATTCTTATTTTACAATTCTCAATTGATGTGTTTAGCTGCAGCTGAAGCTGGCTGCGCTGGGGCATGAGCTATGCCCCATTTAATTAGTGTATCATAATGAAGAAGCTGCAACTGAAAAATCTGGACAAAGTTTTTGCTGAAAAGGCGTAAGACGTTTAAGGGAGGATTGAGTAGGTTGAGCTAAGGCTGGCCAAAGGCACAAGGGCTGACGACTAACAGCTCAAGGCAGCGCGGGGATAGGGGTATGGGGGTGGGCTGAAAGTTGGGGTCGCCACTGCGAGTTTCTTATTTATTGTTTTGGCGGTGCGCGGCAGTTGGCCGCTTAATGCCATAAAAAACAAAGGTGCCATGGCGATAAACAATAAAGAGGATACAGATGGGGGTCGCTGCCAAACATTTTATGCAAATTTATGACTTAAACACAAATTTTTACCATTTTTAATTTTTTTTTTTATTTTTTATTTTATTATTAATTTAAAATAGCAAGTGTTTTATACTTGAAGCAAATATAATATATTTATATATTTATATCGCTACTGTCTTACTAGCAAAAAAAAATAAGGAAGGAGGAAGAAGGGAAGGAGGGCAGGAAGCTAACAGCTAAGGTCTTAGTTACTATTTGGACTCTCGCGGTCAGCGTCAGTGCGACTCAGAGCGGAGCGACTCGGAGCTGGAGGCTTTGCTCAGGCTTTTGAGCGGGCCGAGCAGGCTGAGCAGCACTGGCAACAGAATCAGGCCGTGCGCCGCACCAATGAGCACGATGCCCAGGTACATGCGGAAATAGAAGATCTGAAAGACCTGCGACTTGGAAAAGGCCAGCACAATGATGCCAGCGAATTTGGTCAGCGTTATGCCGGACAGGACACTGCTGCCAGTGACGCTGAGCGAGTGGAGCGCACGCTGCTGGGCATTGCCGTGGGCCTGCTTGAAGGAGCGCACGATGTGCGACACGAACTCCACGCCGATGCCCACGCAGACGACCAGATTGACCAGCGAGATGGCGTTGAGCGTTATGTCCCACGCCCACATCATGCCGCCCATATTGATCACAATGCACAGGACCATGAACAGCACGATGAGCGACGATGTGATGTCCAGTCCGGTAATTAGCAGCGTCACAATGAATATGGCCGCCAGCGAGACGCCAAGCGACAGCAGGGCGTCGTCCCAAATGGTTAAATATTGCTCGTAGAATATGAAGAAGACGCAGTAGGGAAACACTTCCGTGTCGACGCCGACGTTGGCCAGCATCGCATTGATTTCGGACTGAACGCGACGCGCCTCACGCAGCGCCGCCACAAACTTGTCCGATGTGGTCGACGTCGTCGAATACTGCATGAAGTTTGTGTCCAGTATGGTGGCCAAGCCCTGGTCATCCAGCGTATAAATGACCGCCTGCCAAGGTAAACGGAGGGGCAGAGTTTGAGACTAGTTGGGGGAGGGGTTGCTGGGGCTACACTTACGTCGGCATAGGCCGCTCGACCCGCCTTGGCGCACTCGGCATCGGGCAGATCGGAGAGAAAGAGGGGCACATACTTGTCGAATGTCTCGGGTGTGGGTCGCAGACCGTCCTCAGTAAACTGTCGCTCGCATGGATAGCAATCGTCGCTCTTGGAATCTGCGAAAGAAGGGCGCGGCTGTAGCACTCGCTGGTCTCCGACGACAACTACTTACTGCTGGGACAGAAGCCGCCCGTCGTGGCATTAATCTTGCAGCAGTCGGCAATGTTGATCCAGTCGATGTAGTCGTCGATCCACGAGGAGGCCGGACGTGCCAGGGCTGTGATCTGCGGGTAGCGCGACTGTATGTAGAGCTGAACGGATATCGAATCGTCGTTGCACTCGACGCCGCCGCAAATGTAATTCTGATGCTCCGGATTGCTGTAGTTGAGGCCTGGCTTGAGCACCCAATAGACGGGCGCGCCCATGGCCAGCAGGTCGTCCATGTAGCGGAAATACTTGACCACGTGCGAGTCCTGCGGCATGGACATTTCCTGATCCAGACCCGGCTCAATCGAGGGCATGACCATCAGGGAGAGCGCCGTGACCACAGTGAACACCAGCAGGACAGTCGTCTTAACGGGTCTGAAGCGGAAATCGAATGCATTGAAATGGAGTGTTTGAACCCATGGGCATGGAACTCACTTGGAGAGCAGGAAGGGAGCATAGAAGTCGTGGAACAGTTTCTCTAGCAGGCCAACGTCATGGGAATCGTCGGGCTTCACGTTGCTCCGCACACAGCACAGCATATCGAGGCGTCCGCTCTTATAGCGCTTCTCGTCGATGGCCATCAGCGCGACAAAGGCGGTGATCTGCAGCAGGAAGTCCAGCAGAATGGCGATCGCGGCGTACATGGCGAACGTCTTCACCGCTGGCATCTCGGAGATGGCGCCAATGGCGAAGCAAGCGAACTCGCTGGTGGCCGTCTGCAGAATGGAGGGTCCCGCCTGGCCGATCGCCTCGCCGATGGCTTCGTGGGTGCTGGCAAAGCGCTTGTGGTCCAGCCTCTGGTACGTGTGCACCATTATGAAGATGTTGTCGACGCCAACGGCCAGCACCAGGAACGGTATTACCTCAATGGCCAGCATAGTGGTCGTCACGCCCATATAGCCCCAGAAGCCCAAGCTGCAAATGACCGAGGCCAGCACAATGACAATGCCGCTCACAGCCAGCATGATGCGTGAGTCACGCAGGAAGCCAATGCAGCTGCGTATGCGTCCGAGTGCGATGGCCACATAGATGAACATAACCAAATAGCTGATGACGACGGTGCTCACTTCACCCTCCGACAGCTCAACAATGGCGTCCTGTATGGAGCGTTCCGCTGAGAAGGCAATGTCCAGATGCTCGCTCTTGTAGCTCTTCATGAAGTCCACGAAGCGCTTCTCCCATTCCAAGCTGATCTCCAGCTTCGCTTCGTCCAGCTGGTTCTTGCCCAAAAAGGTCAGCACCAAGCCAGTGGCTAGCATATAATCGGGATCCTCGCCGTTATCCGTTGGCGGCATGCCGCCCACAGCAATGCCCGGCTCGATGGGTCCGCCAAAGTTGCTGAAGCAGTCCTCCATCATTGGCACGCTGTGCGTTCAGAAATTGCATTTATGATTATATATCTTATCATGCTTATCATGCTATACAGAGTTGACTCTGCTCCAGGTCGAACGACCTGTCACGTTGCCAGCCTCGACTTACCGCAAGCAGTCCTCCAATTGATTCAGATAGTTGATGGTGTAGTTGTTGCTGTCCACATAGGAGTTCTGGAATTTGGCCATGTCGTTCTGGAAGTAGCCATAGATGGACTGAATGACGCAGTCGTCGACGGTGGGCGTTAGACCCGGGTACAGGATGGGCGCATAGCAGATTTTGTCCAGGCTCACGCCGTCGTCGACTCCCAGCTGCATGATTTGCTCCTGCAGTTCGAAGACCTCCTGCAGGAAGTTTTGCTCATAGGCGGGGCCGAAGGTGAGAGTGCCGCTCGCCGCTTCGTGCGTAAACTGAGATAAGAAGATGCGGCAAAAGAGAGCGGAAGGCAGGGAATAAGTGAGTAATTGAATCCTTCTTTCCTTAACTATTGCATGCTTACTGTGTTCTTGTTCAGAGGCTTCACAAACAGCTGATTGGTGCGATAGAAGGGTCCGAAATGTTGATCGAAATAGTCCTTCTCGATGCGCGTCTTGCTCTGTTCGCTGGCCCAGAGCTCGACGGGATCGGTGGTCACGTTCATGTAGCGCACGCCGTAGGCCAGCCCGCCAATGACCCAGGAGCACAAGGCCAGCACGAGCACCGGATGCTTGGCACAGAACGTGCCCCAGCTGCGGCAGCCGCGATACAGAAAGTCGCCGTATAGCGTCGGCATGCAGATGTTGGGTCCTGGCCGATCGCCAATGGCGCCATAGCAGATGAAGCCCGCTATCAGCAGGGCCACAATCAAGGCGATTAGGAAAGTAACGCCATACAGTCCGGCTATCTGCCAGGGATCCTCGTAGCCAGTCGGCGGATCGGTCAGCGGGCAGGACTCGTCGCAATCGATGCAGGCGCACGCGTATTTGCCCTCATAGCTCTGGCCGCACTCCAGCGGATGCACCGCCAGATAGGCATCGTCCGAGCCCTCCGGCGCATCGTCACTCCACATATAGTTGATCACGAAGGGCACATAGTCGTTGTTGACGCCATCGCCCATGAAGAAATACCAACGGCGATAGTCGCAGGTCTTCGCATTGTACGCACCGCAGCCCAGATCCATGGCCGGGCGGCCAGTCTGGGAGTGCTGGATGCTGCTGCAGCTGTCGTAGATTTTCTTGACGCTCTCATCCCGCAGGCGATAGTCGATGTGCTCCACAAAGTTCACGTCCATCGGGTTCTTTGCCACGTAGGGTGTCAGGAAGAGCGACTGATTCTTGGCGCAAGTCATGGCGCAGACGGTGAGGGCCATGTTCAATGTGCATGTGGGGCATCTGGAGTAGACGCCATCGGCCTGACTTAATCCCGAGTCCATGCTAGCTATTTGATCCGCATCGCAGCAAAGTACCAGCTCCTCATCGCCATTGGGGCCCTTGTACTCCGCATAGAGCGTGGGACAGCGCCTGGCAAAGGTGGCCTCGGCCTGCGTGTTATTCAGCAGCAGCGGTGGCCCGTTGTACTCCAGGTTCTGCCAGTGCTCCCCAATCATATGGCTCTCGCCATACCAAATGCAATTGGCCTTTGCACCCAGCTGCACAGCCGTCAACAATAGCAGCGCAACCAACTGAAATTTCATTTCCATTTCAGCAAACACACGCACAAAGCCAAAAGCAAGAAACAAAAAAAAAAAAAAACAAACAAAACGAAACAGGGCCAAAACAAAACAATGCGAAAAAAAACAGAGTAAAAGCCAAATAATTTGATTCGCTACACAGTTGACCAGCCGCCACTCGAAGTGCACCACCCGACCAGCTCGTTAGCTCGTTAACAACTGTTTAATCAATTGAAACTGAAACCACGGTGTCCCCAAGCAGCAAAGTGTGTGGCCACTGCTATTATCAAGCTGAAGTGCTCTCTGCGTGCCACTGATAAGATTTTCGAGACTGATTTCCCGATTAGCTCCGAGCTCCATTAACAACTGACCGCGGCTTATCTGCCCAACGACAGATAAGCCCTTCTGTTGGCTGCCAACGGCTCACAAATCGATTAAACCTCTAAATATACAGAAGAATACATATATATATATATATATATATATATATATATATATATACATTTATATTTGTGTAAATTTTATTGGATTAGCAACACTACTAATTATGGCATTTACTATAGATGGATGGGATTGAATATCCATGAATAAATATTTAATTAAAGAGAAGAGAAGAGAAGAGAAGAGAAGAGAAGAGAAGAGAAGAGAAGAGAAGAGAAGAGAAGAGATAAGAGAAGCCGCGCCGCGCCAGCCTCTCCGTCATCCTCCTCCTCTCCTACCTCCTCTCCTCTCCTCTCCCTCTCCTCTCCTCTCCTCTCCTCTCCTCTCCTCTCTCTCCTCTCCTCTCCTCTCCTCTCCTCTCCTCCTCTCCTCTCCTCTCCGCTCCTCTCCTCTCCTCTCCTCTCCTCTCCTCTCCGCTCCCTCCTCTCCTCTCCTCGCCTCTCCTCGCCTCTCCTCTCCTCTCCTCTCTCTCCTCTCCTCTCCTCTCCTCTCCTCTCTCTCCCCCCCTCTCCTCTCCTCTCCTCTCCGCTCCTCTCCCCTCCTCTCCTCTCCCTCTCTCTCTCTCCCTCTCCTCTCCCTCCTCTCCTCTCCTCTCCTCCCTCTCCTCTCCTCTCCTCTCCTCTCCGCTCCTCTCCTCGCGCTCCTCTCCTCCCTCTCCTCTCCGTCCTCTCCTCTCCTCTCCTCTCCTCTCCTCTCCTCGTCTCTCCTCCCTCCCTCTCCTCTCCTCTCCTCTCCTCTCCTCTCCTCTCCTCTCCTCTCCTCTCCTCTCCTCTCCTCAGCCTCTCCGCTCCGCTCCTTCGAATAGAAGAGAAGAGAAGAGAAGAGGCAACGGCAATTGAACATTTGCCTTCCAGTCAGTCAGTCAGTCAGTCGGGCAGTCAGTGAGTCAGTCAGTCAGTCAGTCAGTCAGCTTGAGTACCGTTATGTAGTATACGATAGATCAATAGGCACAGCTCACACATCAAATGGTTCTTTGGGTCTTTTGTTATGTGAGTCACTTGCTGTTCTTTTTTTACAGAGGCTTTTGTTACCTTGTCGTGCTGCCAGTGGGCGCTGTGTATGGGTTTTATGGTGGGCAAGTGTTTCAGTAATTTGTAGACTCCGGCGACTGTCGCTTATCTGGAATAGGTCTAACAGGTGTTCACTTGAGAAATCGACAGCTAACGACGGTTCAGCTGGAAGGCAAATCATTTTATAGCGCGTTGCACTTATCGCCAGCAGCTGCTAACCCACTCATCGACAGATCGCGGCCGATGCATACCTCAATAAGCTGAGCAGGTGTGAAAAACGGCTGATAAACGGCTGAAGATATACCAATTTTAATAGCATTAATATTTCCGATTACTCACAATTACTAGCATAAGACTAAAAAGTCAATTACAATATCTAAACTTGGGTTTTTTTCTTTTTTTTATGACAATCATCTCGTGTTCTGATAGCAGATAGAAGATAGAAACGCTTATCTAATTATTATTGTATTGCTCCGCTACAACGTGCTTCATGTTGCAGATCTTAATCGCACTATAGCTAAGTTAACTAACCCCTTATCGTATATTTTTTTTTTCATGACAGCTCGATTTCATTTCAATATCAATTCAACTTTTCTGTATAGAAAGGAATTCAGCTTTAAGCCTAGGCAATAGAAGACTAATTCCCCCCATAAGTAGTAGAGTAGCTACAGTAGCTACATCCATATAATGGGTACTCTATGCAACCTATGTACCCTGTACCTACAGCTCATGTTTTACGGATGGCACAGAAGATACTTCAAAGTATATTTAATTTGCGATCATCTTTATGTCTCGTACTTTGAAGCTACATTTAGAGTAGGTACAGTACAAATTATTGCTTATCAACATTGGTACAGTGTTATATCTATTAGGGACAGCGTTATATTTACTGCAGGTACACTGTTATATCTATTGTAGGTACAGCATCATACTTACTGTAGGTACATTTTATATCTACTCTAGGTACAGTGTTATATCTATTGTAGGTACAGCGTATACTTACTTATACTTACTGTAGGTACATCGCCATACTTACTGTAGGTACAGCATTATATCTATTGTAGGTACACTGTTATATCTATTGTAGGTACAGCGTCATACTCACTCCAGGTACATTTTATATCTACTGTAGGTACCTTTCTACTGCAGGTACAGTGTTATATCTACTGTAGGTACAGTTTTATATATATTGTAGGTACAGCGTTATACGTACTCTAGGTACATTTTATATCTATTGTAGGTACAGCGTTATACGTACTCTAGGTACATTTTATATCTATTGTAGGTACAGCGTCATACATACTGTAGGTACATTTTATATATATTGTAGGTACAGCGTTATACGTACTCTAGGTACATTTTATATCTACTGTAGGTAGACTGTTATATCTATTGTAGGTACAATGTTATATCTATTGTAGGTACAATGTTATATCTATTGTAGGTACAGTGTTATATCTATTGTAGGTACACTGTTATATATATTGTAGGTACAGCGTTATAGTTACTCTAGGTACATTTTATATCTACTGTAGGTACACTGTTAAATCTAGTTTAGGTACAGCGAATCAAATCATTGTTACAGCTTACCAACATTGTAGGTACAGGAGGTACACTAGTTATAACAAGTAGATTAAGTAATCCTAAACAAAAATTGATATATATGCTTATATAAGTGCTTATCGTATGTACAGTAGGTACACTTTAAAGCAGTCACAGTTCGTGGTTTAAAGTCACCAAAGTAGGTACAGTAGGCACTGAACGTACTCTATGAAGAACTTCTTTCCGTTGGCTTTCAAATTTAAGCATTTTTTAATCTTCTACCTTCTATCTAAAAGGAAATATCTCAAAGGAAGGATCAGTTCTGACTTCGGCCAACCCGAAACCTTTACCTCCGTTCCGCCTTGTACTTGTACCTGCCTCTTAGTCGTCAACTGAAATAGCTGGGATCAGCTGGTTCTTCAGTAATCGCTGGATTTTCCGTCAGACATTTTCGGTTCATGTCATTGCCGGCTGAGTGAGTAAATAATCAAATAGTTAAGTAAGATATGGAAGATAAGTTCAACTACTCGGAACAAAAACATTCTGTACACGTAACGAGGCATGGGTATACGAACACAAACGAACAGGAACACACAACAGACACAGCTGAATCGGAAGTCTTTTACTCGCCACACCAACGAGTGCCTGCAGCGTCCGACGTTAACAGACATAGTTCAGCGCCCAGATCCTTGAGTGAGTAGCTCAGATGAGCCGGGACGGCAGGTGTTCAGTGGGTTGATCGTTAAGAGAGATTTCTTTCCAGCTGACAACGAATGTCGTTGCATACTTCACGACTTGGCCGAGCAGTATCAAAAGTTGGTGCGAAACATCGCTTGGAATTTGCCGAGGAAGTCGCTGAAGTCGCCGAGGGGTCGCACAGACGCCGAAAGCTGCCCAGTGCTATCGCAGTTGTGTAAGAGCACAAAGGTGCAGTCCGGCTGGCGGTTTGAGGAGCAGGGCTGTTCGCAGCTGGACGATAATTACAAATATATGATTGGGTTCGTGGAGTTCTTTCGCCAGCGCATGTACTATGAGCGGCTGGGCATACCGCTGACATCGTTGGAACTGCTCTATTTGTGCGACACCGAGCAGGACTGCCGCAGGCAGCGGCGCATGTGCCAGGACAGATGTACCCAAACGGACAACGAGCTGCTCGACTATACGTTGCATCGGTTGCGCGGTGGCAACGTCTCTAAGTGCGGCTTGGCGGAAGGCACACTCAGCTCGGAAGTCTATGAGCAGCGGAACACCACGGCAGTCGGTGAGCCAAGCAATCTTAACTTGCAGCTTGCTACAGCATCGAGTCAATACTTTGAAGCGCTTTCGCGTCAGGCTAGCATCTCGGAGGAACAGAGTCGAAATGCCAAGCCCCAGCAAGCCGAGCCGGCTGATCACAGCTGTGGGGATAGGGAAAGTGAAACCCCAATGCCAGCAGCAACCACAGCCGCATCACTAAGAGTTCTAATGTCCCCAGCAACAGCAACGCCACCGACGCCTTTGCCAACGAGTCGCTTGGCGCAGCGAAAGAGTCGGGATTTCCTTAAGCTGCGCAAGAAGCGAAGGCACTTGATAATGGATCAGGGCACAAAAGCGCTACAAAATCAGTCCTCGCTAAGGTTCACATACCAGAGTCTACTAAAGTTCTGGGGCAAGGGCAGGGACAGGGACAGGGACAGGGACAGGGAGTTCAATGATACTGTCAGGTTGATCCATCTGCTGCGACACTCGTCCAAGAACTTCAATCTGCCTGGCAAGGCGGCAGCCCAGCAGATGCTCTTCGATGACATCGATAAAAGCTCCTCGTGCAAGGTGGAAATGCTTTTGGCACCGGACACACCACGGCTGCTGCTCAACGAAATGAGAAGGTCCGGCCTGCTGATGGCGAAGAGCATTACGTTCACGGAGACGTCGTCGCTGCTGCAGCTGGACTGTGCGTCGAGCATTTTGGCTACGGCTCGACTGTCGTTCGAGGCGGGCGGCATGAGGCACGGCTCCGCGGACACGCTCAATGAGGTGTGGTGTAATCCGGGCGTCTTTCTCAACTCCCGCCCGCCAGCAGCGCCGCACACTTCGGGCGAGCGCAAACGGCAACTGCCCATCGATGCGCTCATCGTTGGCTGTGTGGGCGCCCCGATCCTCGGCGAGCAGGCAGCCCGTGCAGCGCTTGAGAAGTGCGCCTTTTTGTCTAGGGAGTTCGACAAGCTCAGCCGAGAGCAACGGGCAAAGGACGTTGCGCTGCGCCTGCAGCAGCTGCGCCTCTTTCAGGCCAAGGCCAGCCGCGACTACATTTCCTTGATGCGCGCGCACGAGTCCCGCGACTGCCAGCGGCACAGCAGCGGCAAAGCGATCCCCAGGCTCTTTGAATGCCCACTGAACAAGCCGAGCTGTGTGCCTCTGCTCAGCGAGTCGATGCTGGCGCACTTTCTGCATATGCACCTCAGCGAGCCCGGCTTATCCCTAAACGAGCTGTATGAGCGGGATCAGGTGCTGATCATGTTTCAGCCGCGCTCCTTTCGGCGCTCGCGCAACGTCTGCCTGTCGATGATCGCCTTTGCCTTTGCCGGCGCCAAGAGCAAGTCTGCCGATCCCCCCGTCTCGCCTTATATGCCCGTCTACAATGTGGGCTTGCCCGACATATATAGCGAATACGCGGGCCACCTGCCGCTCTTTGTGATGGCCTGTCGCACCCGTCTGCGGCGCAGGGGCCGCACGGCGAATCGACGCGATTTGGGACGCGACTCGTCCAATCCGGCGTTTTCGACGCCCGGCAGACAGGGCGCGGGTGAGTGTGTCATGGCCTTGTGGCTGGTCAGCGTCGAGCTGACGAGGCCCGTGCACGTGCAAATGACCGTTTTCAATCGGCGCGTCGACATCAGCCGAAGCTCCATCATGCAGGTGCGCGGTCTAAACAAATGCCACGACTGCGACAAGTTTATGCTGAAAAGTCAAAACTATTTGCGCCTAACCGGACAGGACCTGCGCGTGCTGACCAACAACTACACGGAGCCCATCTACCTGGAGCTCTCCGTTCAGGACTATGCGCGTCCGTCCGTCCGCGACAGACATTAAAATGCGCTGATCTCAAAGTATACGCATTTTTCTATTGAAATGACCAAGCAGAAGGACATCGAGAGCACGCGCTCTGAGATGGGCTGAACAAATTTATTTACAATTTTTAGCTACTAAATGCAACTTTTCACTTTTGGCGAACACCCAAAGTCAATTAGGATCTGCTCAAGGTAAAATTTCGCTAATGCTCCTTTTGAAGATGGTAAAAGGCATAAAAGGAACAAATCAAATTGGTATAGAACGAGCCATAAATTTTTGTTAAGTTTATAAATTTTCTTTTTAACTATTTTTTTAAATAAATGTGCTTTTTTGAGAGAGGAATAAAAAATTATATGGAATATGAGATTCTGTTCCTTCGTACTGTTCGTCCTTCTCTCCAACCCATTGTCCGCTAGTTCGTATATTCCTGTTTCAGATCCTTCGCCTTCCGAACACATTTATCCTTGGCTACTTCTGCACTCCGAACTTTCTTAGGACGCTGATTCTATTGTATTGCAATAAGTGTGAGCGAGACGAGCATAGTTCGCACTTTAACAGTTCTTATTGGAAGTGGAACATCTGATTAGATTTATATATTAGTATATTCATATTTTTTTTCAGCAAGCTTAATAGTGATCTTGCTGCTCACATTTTCTGTGGCTTTTGTTATTGTCTGCGCTTTAACAGTGCAAAAGCTTTTATTCGCTCACTGGTAATGCTAACTGTTAAGAGAATGTTAAACTGGTGTTCTCTTTGGTTCGTTCTCTGCTATTGCTTGCTGCTTGCGTCGCTGTCGCTCTCAACGACGAAGTGCAGCAAGCGGCGGCTTTATTTATTTTTTAATGCCGGGCAGAATGCTATTGAACTCGCACACACACACATTCATACACAAATATACATATATTTATATATACATATATATGTATTTATATATATGTATTAGTAGAGAGTATTTAGCATTTTGGCAACTGCTGCTGTTGCCGCAAAATGCATAATGCATGAAATTGTTGCCGGCATACAGGAGGCAGCTAATTTGATTAGCTTGACTTGGCTGTCATCTTAGGAAAACATAAAACGCAAATGGAAATACAAAAATCAGATGTCAACAGCGACATTTAACAGCCAAATGGCTAATTGAGCCACTGTCAGATTATTTAATTGCGAAACCGTTAACAAATGCATTCAAAGTGCGATGTGTAAGACACGTGTTCTGAAAATCCAGACCTACATGAACAATCTGAAGCAGCGGCAGTGGCAGAGGCAGCGACAGAGGTAGTGGCAGCGGCAGCGGCAGCGGCAGCTTGAACGCATCTGCAAAGCGGCCCCCTTAAGCCCAGCAACGCAATGTTCCCGAAAATCTGTTCCCGTTCCCGTTCCCGTTCCCGTTCCCTTTCCCGTTCCAGCGAACTAGCTTCGTACGTTCCAGGCGCATTCTGGAAAATTGTGTCAAGCTGACGACACAATTTTCAAATCGCATGCCCGGAGTTGCAGTTGGCTTCCCAAAAACAATCACAAAAAAGAAACGAGAAGAAGAAACAGAGTAAGAGTGTGAAGAGAGCGAGAGAGCGAGCGCGAGCGCGAGCGCGATGGCCGGCAGAGCGACAGACAGCCCAACATAGAAAGACAGACAGACAGACAAACAGACAGAGAGAGAGAGAGGGAGAGAGAGAGTGTGTGCGAGAGCGTCCAAATAAACTGCCGTCGTAAGCTGCCGTTGCACTAATAATGGCAAAGGTATATCGCTCCGGTACAGTAGCGTAACAGGAAGTGGTGCATTAACACGCACCGCAGCTGATGACGACGACGTCGCCCAAAACTTCAACTGGCCCGGGCCCCAAAAGAGCGCGTCATTTAAATTGATAACAATAACAAATTGGCAAAACAAAAACAAAAACAAATAAATTAAGGAGAAGTTTAAACAAAAGTGCGCGAGCCTTGTGTTGTTATTTTTTGTATTATTATTCCATATATATAAGTATGTATTTGTGTGTGTGTGTGTGCGCTTAGCTTTTGATTTCGCGCAACTCCTTCCGATTGCATCACCAAAATAGTCAGCTGCAGTCTTAACTTTTAACCTAACGGATTAGGCACAGGCAGCGACGTGACTTCGACGTCATCTGTGACGTCGCAAGTGGGCGACTGTCTGTATGTGTGTGCTGCTCGTGCATGTGTGTGAGTGTGTCATCAATTTTTTGCATTTTGCAGCCCTAAAATGAGCAAACGAATGACGTAGATCTCCATTGATGTTCCGTTGCGTTTCATTTCGCAATTCGCAATTCGCGTTTCTCATTTGGTTGCGGCAAAAACAGCCGAAAAACCTAAAAACCGACAAAACCGGCTACACAAATGTTAAGCAAGAGAGAGCGAGCAGGTCAGCGTGCTTGTGTTGGGCCGCGTGAGTGTGTGCGATAGGAAGAGCGATGCGGATGCCGCTGACGCAGTCGCTGCCGAAGTCCGACGACTGCCGACTGCCGAAGCATCAAATGCCGAGCTCGAAAAACGTGCACACGTGCAGCATGCAGACGGACGGGCAGGCGACAAGAACTTTTTCGGTGTGAATGCCTTCTGCACAAAAACGTGGTTTTTCGGCTGTCAGCGTTGCAGCGTTGACGTCGCTGCCAGTCGCCGCGGTCGCAGTCGGCGTCAACGTTAGCGCTGCTGCGTTTTGTTCTCTTCCTCATTGGGTAGTTGCAATTCCTGCTCGCTCGTAACTGTTAAACATTTTAACAGCTTCGCAGTCGACCGCTAACAGTTCAATGGCGCGTCGCTATTAGCTAACAGGCGCTGTACTGTAATCGTTCTTTTTGTTGCATACGCTGAGGCACAATGGAAAAACTGTTATATGAGATCGCTGCGCAGCACTTAGAAGTGACTCGAAACTGTTTCGCATGCGTTCTTGTGGAATAAATATCAGTTGCGCTTATAGAGAAATTGGATGGAAGTTAATGAGATTTGCTTAAGTGGAATATGTACAATTTTTGATTAAATATCTCTCATACGCCACGTGGAACTTGTCGAAATTTAATAAGAAATTTGAGTTAGCTAATCATTACATTACTATCTGTTTTTTATGTTAATGCATGCATAAAAACAAACAAGTTAGAACAACAACATGCAACATGCAACATAAAACGACAACAGCTGCAACTGCAAACAGTTTCTGTTCTGTTTGGCAAGCAAAGCCGGCTCCGGCTCCGGCTCCGGCTCCGTCTTTGACTTTGGCTCTGTTCCCAGCTCTTTGCCACCGGCTGTTGTTGTTGTTGTAGTTGTTGCTTGCTGCTTCCGTTAGTTGCCGGAAGTTGCACGAAGTGCACAAAAGCTTTCGGCTCTTAGTTCTCTGGCCCTGTTAACAGTTAGCTGAGAGCAGGAGAAACGCCAACCAAATGCAAATGTTGTTTGGCCTGCCAAATTGGCAATGGCCAAAAGACAAAAGCACAAACACCGACGACAAAGAGCAGCGCAACAGCCGTCGTCGTTGTCGCAGTCAGCGCTAGCGTTGGCAGAACTCGCTGCTACTGCTACTGCTGATGTTGTTCTTGTTCTTGTTGTTGGCTAAAAGTGTAGTTGGGTCTCATCACAGTCGCAGTCGCATCTCGGTCTTATTCGTGTGCGGCGCTTCACCGCTAAGCGACGTCTGAAATATATTTCGCTGCCTACACTGCTGCTGCTTCACGACGACTACACAAAGCGTATGTATGTGTGTGTTGTGTGTGTGGGTATGTGTGTGTGTGTCTGCGCCTGAGTATCGTTTCGGTTGCCTTCGGCTAGTCGTTCGTGCGCGTCGTTATAGTTCGGCAATTCGTTCGCTTTTCAACATTCGTTCGTACCATTCGTTGGGGTCGTCGTTGCTGCTGCTGCTGCTGTCGACGCTGCTGCTGCGGTAGCGGCTGCTAATGCTTGCTGCTGCTGCTTCCAAACGTTCGCTGGCCATGCAGCAAAAACAGTTTACATTTGTTTTTCCGCGTGCTCGCACACGTTGACTGACACGGTCTGCGACTCAGCGAGCGAGCTTTGTCTGTCTGTCTGTCTGTCTGTGTGTGTGTGTGTTTTTTTGTACATATGTGTGTATTTGTGTGTGTGTTTGTGTGACCGGAGTGCCGACCCGGAGTTGCCACAGACTGACCGGAGTTGCATGGCCGAACTAAAAGCACTCGAGCTTGCTCCAGTTACTGGCCTGGTCCGGTCGCTGCAACTGCAACTGCAACTGCAACTGCAACAGCCACAACCACATTAGATCAGCTAATGGCAACACCAATACAACCAGTAAGCCCCAAAACCCCATCCCACCTCCATCCGGTTCGACCATTGCATACCATATAGATTTATATATATATATATATATATATATATATATATATATATATATCTATATCTATGCATTTGATATTTGGAAAAGTTCAGTTCAGATTAATTTTCGTTTTCATTTTCGATTTCGAATTCGAATTCGGTTTTTTGATTTTGATTTGAAGTTCGACTGCTGCAGCTCGGCTTCGGCTGGCGGCTCGTGCCTGGCGGCCGAAGCTGCTGCCAGCAGCGAAGGTGGAGTTGCAGCTTAACGCTGAGCGCTACGGACGACGCGTCGTGAGTCGTGTCGAGATCGGAGCCCCGCGCGGAAGTGCAGTGTTAAAAGCGGCTGCGGAAACGGAAGCTCAAAGAACGGTTAACAAGCACACACTTTCCACACAGTCAGCCAGCCAGCAAGCCAGTCAGCCATCGATGCTTAGTAAATTAAGGACTGCTGTGCGCAAACGCACAGACACGGCACTTGCCCAAATACCCAACTAACGATACTTCTTCTGCTTCCACTTCCACTTCGAGTTGATTTTTCAGTTTTTTTTTTATATTTTACTCTCGCACAATTTTTTTCACAATTTTTTTAATGTGATCCACACGAAAATCAAATAACAGCAGCAACAACAATTCGCGATGTTGTCAGCTAGCAAACGTTCGAAATCGATGAAACAAAATGCAGTGCATAAAACAAATGAAACATGAAAGCGTAACAACGGCAGTGGCAACAACAACAAGCCACGACAACGGCAAAAACGGCTCGCGAGCAGTAAAAAAAGTGTAATTAACCAAAATAGAGCAAACACCAATGGAGAAGAACCGCAAAATCAAATCAAAGATTAATAATAGTTTGTTTTATGCATAAATAGAAGAAGACAATAAATGAAATGTTTAAGAGGTGTGTGTGTCTCTCTCTCTCTCTCCATCTCTTTCTCTCTGTGTGTTTGTGTGTGTGCGATCAGCAGCGTAGCAGCTTGCAAACTTTTTTAAAGTGAACAACTTAAGTAGATTAATATATATATAAATTAATATAATTATGAAAAGACTTCTTAAAAATATTTTGTTTATCAGTTATTAGTTCAAATTATTTTATGAAAAAATATTTATATGAATTATATAATTAAAAATTTTTATATAAAAAATGCATTTAAAAAATATTTAATAAAAATTTGGTCATTTACAAAGAGAAAAATTGAATTTATATTAGTCTTTATTTTATTTTAAATTTAATAATTTATTTTTATGAGTAACTTAAAAATAATTAATATAATTTTAAATATTTAAATATTAATATAAATTTAAATATTTTTTTCCTCATGTGATGCCAAGAAAATTTATTAAAAAACTCCAGTACTATTATTAATATTATTAAAATTGAAGAAGAAATTTCTACGTGATATTTTTTGAAAAATTTAATGGAAGTGTTGAGTTAAACAAATTGAATTTTAATTGTTTTTATTTTGAAATTTATTTGCAATATTCAATATATATGTATATATATGTTCATTCATTAATATTTTCTAAACATTTCAACAATGTTTCAGTGCAATAAACTTATTTAATTTCTGCACACTTCAAAGCGCTCTGATATTATTAATCAAAATAAGTAATTGTGCAAGATTTTTCTTTATGTTTTATTTATGTATTTTTTTTGTGTGCTGCTAATGCTCGTTCACAGAGCGAGAAGGGCGTATTAGTTAGCCTGAATAGATTTGAGCTGATTTGAGTGCAGTTATGGGCTCGTTTGGCCAGGTGTATTGCAGGTGTGTGACGTGTGTGAAAAACTGAAGTATCTAGAACTGAAGTATCTAGATAGATCTAGCTATCTATCGATCCGTAAATATATCTAATTTATATCTGCGAACGAGCATTACGTAGTTGCTATTGTTGCTGTTGCTATTTGTTATTTATTTAAACACGTTTTGGACAAAAATTATGGCGTCAGCTGCGCGGCAAGATATAAACAATGAAAATAGGCAAACAGCAGAGAGATGAGAAGAAGAAGAAGCAGGAGAAAGAGAGAAGAAACTATTATTCTCTTGCGTATAATTGTTGTTGTTTGTGCGCTCATTTCGCGCAACTTGTCGAAATCAAATAAATCTTGAGTTTGAAATGATTTTTCACGTCTTTGCCGGCCAGCATTTCGTTCCATTGTATTTTGTATACCACTCCAAGTGGCCAAATAGGGTATACCCAACGCAGTATATATAGATGTATTCTATTCTATTCAGAAATTCCGTCGGTCAGTCTAGAGAGTTCAAGCAGGAGCTGCGAATGTCGAGCCACCTTTAGTCAAATTGAGTTTCAAATAATCGATAGCCTTTAATCGGAATACATCTAGCTTATTTATAAACGTCTATTGGGTATTTTTCCGTCGAATACTCCCGACTCTTTCTTTGTTGTTAGTTTTTTTTTTGTTTTTGTATTTGAAATTCCGGCCATTCCGTTGTTCCGCGCAACTGGGGGAATCATTTGAGTTTCACATGGATCTATTAATAATTTGATGCATTGCCCTCGTCGTCATCTACGGTCAGTGTGGTCGGTGTCTTTGTTCAATGACTAAACGCCTCATATGAGTTCCCATTTCTGTTTATAGCGCCATCTTAGAGCTAATTAGAAATCTCTTTCATCTTCTGACAAACTCTCAAATTCCAATTATGCAATTCCAATGTGAGCCTTAACCGATTTGACAAATTCGAACTATAGATCATTATCATATATATTTAAGTGTAATCTTGTCTGTTTGTTGGTGTGTAAAGTGTGAACTTATCGATAGGGCCATGTCCGTCTGTCCATCTGTATGTTACTCGTGAACTATACACAGTCAAGTTCAGATATTTGAGATATATATTATCTGACATGCAAGTAAATTTGTAGTTTAACATTTCTTTGGTATCAATTAAAATCTATGTAGACCGGATAAGTTAGAAAGGGGTGTAGAGATAGTAGAGTTATTCGACTGTTTATTTCTGGCTGAAGTTAATGAAAAAATCAACTCAATTTTTGTATAAATATAAATAAATAAATATATATATATATATATATATATATATATATATATTTATTATTATATATTATATTTATTATATATATATATATATATATATATATATATATATAATAAATATAGTATTTATAATCTTTATAATATACTTGTATATTGTATTGTCGGCTATATTATTAGCTCTGTTTTCTTGGCCTTCTTTCTTATTATTGCTTATTTTATATTGATTTATTCCCAAAGAAGGAAATTGTGTCTAAAAATTATTTTCATTACTTAAAGTTTTTTTCGGGGTTGATTATCAACAATTTCTGTAATATGTCTTCTGCCACTTTTTCTAGCCTCAATTCAATTTTTTGGCTGAAATATCAAATTAAATCAGAAACAGATTTGGTTTTATAATATTCTTTAGAGTTTACAGAATTAGTTTAGTATTTTTATAAATTAAATTTTACTTTTAATTTTTTATATTATGTATTATTATTATATTAGCTCAGTTTTTTGCTAGGGTAAGCGAAAACTGTTTTTAAATCTCAGCAGACTTTAAAGCTTTTTATCTTATATAAATTTGCTGCAAAAGCTGTTGCAGATTTTGATTTGATATATATTTCGAGCTCTTTTACCATAAATTAATTTATATATATATATATATATATATATATATATATTTTTTTTTTTGTTGGTTGTATTCGAGAGTTGATAAAGGTGAAAAGGAATTTGAAATGTGAACCTTTCACGATTTAAATAATTCCGTTTTATACGCTTAAATGAAAAAGTGGCAATTGGTGACATTAACATACAAATATATATATATACATATATATATATATATATAGGTTATATATATATCGAGTATTTTCGCATTTAGCTCTATTTTAACACCATGTAACACTATCAAGAAAAAAAAAAAAACAAATGAATTGAATAACATGACATATGAAATTTAATTTCAATTTTATTTTAATTTGTGCAGAGGTGGACAGACAGGGAAAGAAAGGCAGAGATAGAGAGATGGAGAAAAAATCATAACCATAAACTGAATACAAAAAATAGAGAGAGCGAAAAAAAAACGAGAATTGCAACAAAAATAAATTATAAAATGTGGCATTAAATTGATATCATATTCCGAAAGGACAACAGCTGCAAATGCGTTTTTTTTAATACTCTGAACCAAATTGAAAATGGGAATTGAGTGCATAAAGTTCGTGCTACAATTTATGATGATGAGGTATGGTTGACACCATATAAAGTATATATATTCCCGAACAACAGTCGCGTGGAAGTAATTGTGTCATTCTCGATATAATCTTTAATAGTAGTTATGAAAATGTCACTAAATATGAAGATTATATAAATTTATGAATATATGTATAACTCTTGGAATAGCTAGCTCAAAGATAGCTTTACCTGGTATCTAAGGCAGTTGTGTCTATAGCTCAACATCTGCAGGATTTTAGAAGATACCTAGCCAAAGCTCTGCTATACTGTTCATAGAAATGTACCTTTCCGAAATACTAAAAATAGTTTTAACTATAGGAATTCTTGGAATTGTTTCATATAGAACTTCCATTGAGTCGAGAAAAAGCTTTATATTAGGGTATATTAGCTGCGGCTACTGCTCCTGCTCCTATACATATATAACCATAAATTATTATTTATATACAAGTGTACATAGATTTTTTTGTTGGCCTAATATATGTGTATGCTATAGTTTATATATGTGTGTGAATGTGTGAGTGGCTGCTGTTGTTGTTGCTGCTACATGTAGGCTCGGCCTAGTCGCCATACAATGCGGGCTTAAAACAAAAGTGACATGGCTTCCTTTATTATCTGCGACACATCCTTTCATTGTGTTGGTATTTTGGTTGTTTCGGCTGTTTCGTTGTTTGTTTGGCCCCGTTGTCCTATTTTAAATGGTCTTTGGGTCGCCCCAGGCTAGAGAGCACGCATTAAACTCTCTTTAATACACTTG